GCCTGGTCGGGACCAGGATAACCAACATATCCCTTATGTAGGTTTTGAACAAAGGGCCCCTGTACCTTTATTTTGAGGAAGAGATGACAAAAACAAAACAAAACAAAACAAAAAAGATCTACCATGTAAATATGTTCAAAATTTAGGTTTACTAAATATTAAGTATAGGGTGGCAGTAGCTCAGTCCATAGGGACTTGGGTTGGGAACCGGATGGACGCCTGTTCGAGTCCCCGTCCGGACTAAAACAGAATTCTCATGCCCGAACCTAAAAAAAAAAGCCTGACTTTTTTTTTTTTTTTTAAACCTCCCATAACAACATGTAGGCTGTTAATGTTGCAGACATTAAAATAGTTTAATTGGGGTTTCTAGCGTGGTATTAAGCTATATTCATTATATTTTGATTGAAAGGATAAAGTTAAATATGAATTTATTTAACTTAATGACTGTATTCTCCTATNTTAGGTTTACTAAATATTAAGTATAGGGTGGCAGTAGCTCAGTCCATAGGGACTTGGGTTGGGAACCGGAAGGACGCCTGTTCGAGTCCCCGTCCGGACCAAAACAGAATTCTCATGCCCGAACCTAAAAAAAAAAGCCTGACTTTTTTTTTTTTTTTTAAACCTCCCATAACAACATGTAGGCTGTTAATGTTGCAGACATTAAAATAGTTTAATTGGGGTTTCTAGCGTGGTATTAAGCTATATTCATTATATTTTGATTGAAAGGATAAAGTTAAATATGAATTTATTTAACTTAATGACTGTATTCTCCTATCTAATGAGAATTGTCAACTGTTGCTGTGCACTGTTGCAGTTGCATCGCGCACAGTCACTTCAAAAAACAAAATAATCAATTAAACAACCCCAAAAATGCTTCAGACACTTTTCTAAATAATCTTAATATTGAAAGGAAACGAAATATACCCAGATAAGGTCAGACCTAAGCTCCGACCTTATCTAAGCACTTTCAGTGGCATAAATGGGTATATTTCGTTTCCTTTCAATATTAAGATTATTGCGGTGCGAGCGTTCAAGCAGGATAATAGGTCTCCATTCAGTGCACGTCGGGCTTTCTATTTCCTTTTCGGAGATGGTGTTACGTTCAAGGTCCCCCCAAAAAACGGGAGAAAAAAAGGCTGAATATTCAATTTTTTTTTTCACAATCGAATCCCGTGCTTTGAAGCTTCAAACTTTTTGGGTCAGCCCTATAACGTACACTCTACAGAGCCAGATCCAGGATCCTCTTCAAGTTTGTCAGGGAGGAATGTGGAAGTGGAGGAAGAGATTGTTCTTTTTTCACAAATGTGGGAATGATAGTCAAAAGTACCATCAAAATGCATAGTTTTATGTAAAATAGCATCAAAAATTTTCGGCAGCCTCCTGGCCAGCTGTGTATAGCGCCCAGTAAAAATTCTTTTCTTGGGGCCCCATATCCCTGGCGGCGCCCCTGTCTGCATAACAATGGAAATTTACATTTGGGGAGTGATTTCTAATGATGTTACCTAAGGGAAGCATATATAAAATGAATTGAATTGGTCGGAGCACAGTACCTTGTGGAACTCCAAAACAAACTTTAGTATGTGACGGTTCATCGTGAACGTGAACAAACTTAAATTAATTGGATAAATAAGATTCAAACCAGCTTAGTGCAGAACCTTTAAGGCCAATTAAATGTTCCAGTCTCTCTAGTAGAATTTGATGGTCAATTGTGTCAAGCGCCGCACTAAGATCTAATAAAACAAGTACAGAGATGAGTCCTTTGTCTGAGGCAATCAGAAGATCATTTGTAATTTTTACTAGTGCTGTCTCTGTGCTATGGTGCATTCTAAATCCTGACTGAAATTCCTCAGATAAATTATTATCATGGAGAAAGTCACACAGCTGGTCTACGACTACTTTTTCTAGGATTTTTGAAAGAAAGGGAAGATTAGATATTGTTCTATAGTTGGCTAACACCTCTGGATCCAGGGTGGCCTTTTTTAGGAGAGGTTTAATTACAGCTACCTTAAATGACTGTGGTACATAGCCTGTTAATAGAGATATATTGATCATGTCTAATATGTAGGCGTTAACTAAAGGTAAGACTTCCTTAGTGCACCCAAAAATGAAAATTAAGCCATTATCTACTCACCCATATGCCGATGGAGGCTCAGGTGAAGTTTTAGAGTCCTCACAACACTTCCGGAGATCCAAGGGGAGAGGGGGGAGCAACACAACTCCACCTATTGGAGGCTTCTGGTGCCCCAGATTCAAACGTCCAAAAACACATAATTGAAACTATTAAATATCTCCTTACTGCTCGTCTTTAGTGATCCAAGTGTCCTGAAGTCCCGACATAAAAAGTTGTGTGGAAAAACATCATTTGAACTCTGTTTTTAGCCTCATTGTAGCCTGTAGCTCTAACTGCCTGTCTGTGCACCGCGCTCATGTGTGCGTGCTTGCGCGCGAGACCAGCGAAAGCACGTGAACACACATAAACACGGTGCCCATGTCTCACGACTTCTGGTCTATTTATAATGTATAAAATGCTGTACCCTGCTTTTGTCCCCCTAGCCGGCAACATGAATGTTTACTGTTGCCATGGCAACAGATGCCGTTTCAGTAGCTAACGTTAGCTTAGCGCAATCTACATATTAACAAGGAACAATAAAACTACAATATGACATTTCTAAACAAAAACAGCTACCAACAGCTGTTCTATCAAAGACCTTAACCAGGGTGTTGCCACTTGTCATATCTCACAACAGTTAACGTAACCTCACTGAAATGACGTAACCTAACTAAACACGGTGCGGTTCAGCACAGACATTACAACTACATTAGTAAGAGTACACTAATAATAGTGCTTTGTGACTTTAATCCTACTCGAAAGAATAAATGAAAAATATGAAGGATGAGTTGGCTGATAACGGTCAACTAAAGAAGCAGCCAAGCCACCGCTTTAGAGAACTGACAAGCATTGTCGTGCCTTTCATACTCAAACAGAAATGTATACAAAAGTGTGTGCCAGATAATATACATAGAACAAATAAACACACACTAATACTCACTGTATGATATTAACATAAAACAATGAATGCACGTTACTTATAGCTGATTATTAAAAAAAAAAAAAAAAAAAAAAAAAAACTGCCCATAGAAAAACTGCGTGCTCTTACTTTGACATGCAGAAATGACGTCATCAGCTGGGTGATCACATGCTATCTGATACGAGTGCATTTTTGTTCAGACCGGCGGAAAGTTTGTTTCAAAACTCTGTGTGTGTAAAAAGCAAATCCACACGCGTAGAACTGAGATCCACAAATGTATTTTCGATTCACAAATAAAAACTGAGTTCACAAATGCCCGTTCGAAAGTTGTAAATTTTAGGAAGATATTCACAAATGCTTTTCATTTATTTGCAAATTAATTTAATGTATTCACAGATATTTTTTTTTATTTGTGGAATGTGTATTTGCAGATCCGTTTTATACTTGCAAAATATTTTTGTGAGTTTACAAATCTTTTTTGTATTTGTGGAAGGTGTTTTATATTTACAGATTACACATTTACACACAGATTGTCAATCTGTTCACACACATAATTATGAAACAAATCTATCTCCATAGTCCACTTTCAGGGAGGCTCAGTTTCCCTGGGACCTAATGGAGCGGTAGGCAGGAGAGGACGCTTGGTGTATGCATGATGATTGGAGGAATTGTCTAAAAGGCTGAACCCCTTTGTGATTGACACACATGAAAATCCAATAACAAAAGATCAAAAATCACAAACCCACAATAAGCTAATTCCACTGAAAAAGTTTCTTTATTCTGAGTCAGTGACAAGTTGCTCACAAAGTTGACTTGTGCATATATCTGTTTGGCAATCAGTTACGACAGCTGCCATTCTTTGGATTATAAAAAGTAAAAACAAATTATTCTGGAAAACAAAAACATTGCCATTACCATGAAACATTCAGTTCTGACACTGCACTAAACTAACAACAACTCAGCATGTAGATTGCAGTGAATACCTCACTTCAATGTTGTGGTAGCACAGAAACCTGCACAAAGGTCACTCAGTTGGCAGATTTCTTTTGAATGTGTGAAAAGAAAACATCAAAGGTACAGTATGAATAATGTTCAATCACTGATATAGGAAAGAATGATGAAAATATATTAGCATGCAAATTCTGTATAATGCCCTCCTACTCATTCAGAGATATTGTTTGAGTCTGACAGGTATTCAAAATTAAACAAATTATACATCAAGATTTATACTTTGATCAAAATAAAGCAGATTAACTGTCTTAATGAAGAATTCATTTTCTACTTAATTCCAGATTTAAATTAAAAAAACAGTGAGACCAGAAGAAAACACTGCTGCTGTAAATGCAAAACTGAATGTGGTAAAAACTTCACTTGAAGAGCCCTGTAAGGCTTTAGCGCATAGTCCATGCCAAAGATTGCAAGGCTTTTTGTGTTATTGGCTCTAACTGCTACAATACCCATGAGCTTTGGCCGCCATTGTCATGACGAAAAAGCCAGTCAGACACATGAATTAGAGCTGGTGAAACAAATGCTGCATTTCCACTGGATGGTGCGGCATGGTTCTACTCAACTCCACCTCAACTCTTTATTATTTTTTTTCCAGTAGCAAAAGTAGATAGTACCTGGTACCTGGTGGTTTGTTGGTACCACCTCGGTCAACGATCCAAACAAGCTGAGCCCATACTAGAAGATGGAGTTAAAACAATGCAGACCACTGACTGGTTAGAAAGTGCAACAGGGCACAACCTGCAAAACCCCACAATTTTTAGCGGCTGTACACATGCCGCATCTGTAACTGCCTGGAAAATGCAAAGTCAGGTGCTGGGTGCTACTCTTGTGCCTACTCTGTGCCAACTTTCAAGAGCGAGGCGGCAGGTTGTATCTGAGGTTGCTAAGCAACCTTAACAAGCACCATATCATAGCCTATTTACCTGAAATCAGAGTGCAGAGCTGATCCTCTTCCAGGTGCTGTTTGTGTGTAGGCCTACTGTCTGTGGGACAGATGTAAAGCTCTGGCAGCCCTGCACTAAAATGATCAACATCTTCTCCATATTTACTACAGACAGATAGTTACAGAAAAGGGAAAGATGCCAACTGTGATTGGTTGTTCCTTGCTAGATGACATGCAGTGCATGCTGCTGTGTTACAAAAGTTGAACTCTGTTTATTGCAGGGTGCAGCCGCTAAGCCCTGAAAAATAGGCACTTGGGAAACCGTGCGCGCCAGGACGCCATTGCTCTGACGTTTGAGTGCATCTGCTGTGCTGCTGTGAAAACAATTAATTAGGTGGCGCAAAAAACATAGCATGTGCACGGCCCCTTAAATAGTCAAGCAACAGCAATTTTTTTTGTTGTTCAATTGACACAGATTTTTTAAAGGCAGCCCAAAAACTAAAAACTCACATATACACAATAATAAACAAAACAGAAGAAAGGACTTGGTACCAAAAGTGAGTTGGCTTGAGCAGAGCTAAGCCATGCAGTGGAACTGCAGTGTCAGGCTCTGATTAGGCCACATGGAGATGTGGCTAAAGGCACAGCTACTTCAAAAACCCCTTGGCAAAACGTATTAGGCAAAGCAGCATGGTGCGCCTATAGAGTAGGACTGCGTATGCAACCTGATCATGAAATGTGGGAAAAAAAATAGATTCAAGCAGTGCTCTCTCTCTCTCTCTCTCTCTCTCTCTCTCTCTCTCTCTCTCTCTCTCTCTCCTACACAAAACTAACACAACATGAGATATGCATTCCCCCTTCTCTCTCACAACTAGCTAACTAGCTAGCTAGCCTATTTACTAGCATAGTAAACAGCATTATCAGCGGAGAAATTTGCCCGGCTGCTCATGTTACTATGTGCATGCGTTCACCAATAATCACCTAATACTGGGATGACCTTGAATTATAAAGTTCAGTGTATTGAAATACCACTCTGAATTTGTCATCATCCTGATGTGCTTACTACAATTACTGACATCAAAACAGGAAGAAAAGATGGTGTGAGGTGAGTTAGTAAAGCCTGGCTCTTGCTTGATTTGATTGGCTGCCTGGGCCAAGTGTGACACTGATGAGCAGTGCAACCACGCCTTGCGCTGAAAAGTTGAGATTATTTCTAACATTTATGGGTGTCTAAAAAACGCCAGAAAAACTGACGTGATGCAAGAGAGGAGCACGAGCCAGGTACAACATACCATAGGAAAACAATGGTTTTGTTACTGATGCATTTGTTTAGTTAGTGAGACTGACTAACTGTAACTACCTGAGCAAACGAACTGACTACACGCTGAAGATGAGTTGCACAATGTCCTTACAGTGATATAAGCACAATAATGCACGCTAAGCTGTTCCAGTGTAGAAAGTAATACATGTACTTTTACTCTCTTAAATTGGGGTATACACCTCTCACTACGTTGACTGATACATAGTTATGCATACTTTCTATATTAAGCTAATCTCACAAACTGGCAATTGCTCACACATACACACACACACACACACACACACACACGATGCAGACTACACCCAAGCCAAATCAATTCAGTTTCAGCCAGTTAACTAACCCTGGATTCCAGCGGCACAGCTGTACCGCAGGCCAGCAGCCATGCCAGACAATGCTTCTGAAAATTGTTTGTTTTGTTTTGTGTGAAGAGATTAAACAGAGTGCTTCACAGCAAATATTTGTCATTTGTGTGATTCCTGATATGGCACTTTAATAGTAATTAACACTTCACATTTGTTACTTTTAGTCTACTTTTTGAGGACCTGTTTGAACATAGTACATTGATTTAATAAATCGCATCTACTACTAAAGTATTGTTTTACGAGATGGCTTGCAGCTATACTGCCAGACACTGCTATGTGTGTGTCTCTGGGGGAGTGTCAGTGCATAGCTGTATAGATGCTGTTCATCATAGCTACCATTACTGTTCATCAGACCCGAATATCTCATTCAGCTCTGAATATAGCGCAGTAATCGACAGGCTCATGTGTTGTTCTTTCTGCCACTAAATCCATCTTTCAAACTATCTCATGCTTACATTAACAACAGCCCTATTTAAGAGGCTTAAACCAGGGCTACTGTTAGCTGGAACAGCAGTTGCTGGGAGCAACATACAAAAAAAGACTGAGGAAGTAGGCTGAGCTAAACTTTCAAATCTAAGCAATCACATACAAGCTTCTAGCAACCACTGTTGTGACTGAAAATGATGTGAGGGAAATGGATACGTCACTACTGTCAAACTAAAATAACTTATTGAAACCAAAAAAAAAAAGCTGGATTTTTATATCTGAGTGCATTATGACCTACCTGAAGAACTCATCAAGTGAAGTAACAAATACAAAGGGTCCAGACTGGCATTAACACATCACACCAACTACATGTTGTACAGCTCTGATACAAAATGTACAAGAACATGTGTACACACATGTAAAATGAGTCAAATAATGCCTTTGTTTGGATTAAGCGCTGCTAACAACACATTTTCTGGTTCCCAACCTAACATAGATCAAAACTTACAGTATATTCTTATATACTCACATAAAATGTGTATTCTGTAACCCGAATTCATGCACAAAAATGTAGTTTTCAGTGTATAAAGAGCACACTGTTACAACTCTATTGGCTATATATGACTATAGGACATGGCAAACCAAGTAAATAAAACATAGTTACAACTTGCTTAGTTTATATAAACATAACTGTGTTAGTTTCATATTTGTGCAAAATAGAAATGTGCAGGTTAAAACAGATACTACAAAGAAACTTTCAGATATAAAATGTTAAAGATTCAGTCCCTTATTTTGTTACAGCACCCAACAACAACCCAAACCTTCCTCTCCATTCTCTTGAAGTTTTAAAGATGACGGGATGAGCGTGGAACAGAGAAGGCAGCTGAATTCTGTAAAAAGTCAGGGAGTGTATCTTTGAAATAAACTATCTGGTAAAAGTCACATTGCCTGACAAAAGAATTGCTATTGAGATTCTAACTTCAAACAACAAAATAAATGAACAAATTCTACTTTAACGTTTTCATCAGGTCAGATGTTGTTAATTGTGAATCATGGTTCTAATTACTTCGTATGGTGGCTGAGAGAGCTCAGAGCACTCTAAATCAGTCAAGTAAACAGACAAAATACAAAGACAATCCAACTCAATCAACAAAACACAATAGATAATCGAATCGACAAAACACAAGCTAGCAGACAAAATAATGAAAATGTTCTGTCTTGCTTGTGGTTTGTGTTTTTGCTTGTTGTTTCTGAAGTTTCAGTGCTTTGAGCTCACTGTGCTTTTGTTGCTGAAAGGTTTGTTTTTAAAAATAAAATTGATCTAATAATTACAATAATAAAGCTATAATTACTTAAAAATTTAAAAATGAACAATAGGTGCATCCCACTCAGTGCACTTGCAACTCAAAAAATGGAAAAACAACAACAAAAAAATAAATAAAAATGAAACACCATTTTGACCCAGGTCTGTGTACAAGGCAGCTGTCAGTATGACATAAGGAATGCTTCTGTACATTTGATATTCAGTGAAACAGGAAAGTGTGACACACGGACAGAGGGCATTTTTTTCGATCATTTACGTGTACAGTAACAGCTGTTAACATATTCCGACTGTGACGTTTTTGTTTTTAACTAATTATATTCACAGTTACAAAACAATAAAATCATTTGAAAAACAAACTTGACAAATTTAACATTATTTGAGTAAAAAAACAAAACAACTATATTGCATGCAATATATTTTTCTGCATGTGATAGAGACTGGATATGTGTTGCATGCAGATAGATAAATTATGGGTTTTTTCTCTCTTACAAGTGTCAGTCATCCGTACCTAATCAGCACGTGGACACTGCCCTCTGAGAATCTTTATGCTTATTCTGTACGTAAAATCATGTTTCATCAATTAATCTATTTACAAAGACTGAGAACTTCTATACAATCCTTTGTCTTATATGTTACAATACTTACAGTACAGCATTGGATCATGGTGTCCATTAACACCTCAATAGAAAAAGCAAAGAATATCATATATGTGACCAGGCATGATGTTAGATGCTGGTTTTAGAGTATTTCCTCTATGGCACAATGATTCTAACAAAATGTCATAGCTGCTTGTAAAAGGATTGTTGAAAAGGCAGTGAATTAGAAAATATCAAGAAGGAATCATCAAGAGGGTATCCCTTTGTTTTTTTGTTTTTTTTGTTTTTCTTGGAAACACATGGCATCTACCTGCTCTGTGAGCTGCTCTGATTTCTGTATCACAGTTAAAGTATTGATGTTACATCAAACCCAACAAATAGCATGTGCTAAAGTGTCCATGCCTCACTTTCACTACAAGATAAATAGATCAAACTGTATGCAGTCAAAGAAACACATCAGTATATACAGTTGTGTCCCTGTGGCTGTGATGGTTGTCCTGTCCATAGAGCCTCAATAACTAAACCAACGATGGTGCAACGTCTCCACTTTCCAGTGTTACCAAAGTTAATGTGCTCTCCCACTACAACCAGAGCCTCCGACGTTACTGGCCCTGTGTTCAGCCTCCTGGAAAAATGTTGAAATGCCAACTCCAGGTTTGGGTAAAAACTCAAAGATACCTCAAAATGTCTTCAAGTTTCCTTTCTGTGGCATCATGAAGACAGTCTTTAGTAGCCTTACTTCTTAGCCAGTTGGAAAGGATGTTGACCCTTTAAACATACGTGTAAACACAGTTAGTCACTTCAGAAATACAAGTGAATGCGTTCAGGGATATTAAATTGTGTAATACATAAGGGATTATTTATCATTAGTGTTTGATGTCCAGTGCATTCCAGATTTATTTTAGCATTAGCTCCTGATTTACTTTTATACTTTTCTTACATTTTTACATTTGCATTTTATGAAGAACATGAGTGTGTGAGCTGGCTGTCAGTTGAAAGCTGCTGCTGCAACAGCAATCTTTCAAGTCTTTTAGTGCCACCTACAGGTGGAATTGTACCAAATGCTGCAAAGTTGTTCAGCATCCCCATCTGTATAACCAACATATTCTTACTCCGACCTTGTCACATGTTGATGTTTGGTCATGGACTTTTCATTTCAAGATATGGCATGTAAAGTACCTGGGTGTTTTGGTTGTTAACGTTCTGGGATACCATGTCAAATTCAGCCTGTTAAATGCATTGTCTGATTTCAAAATACACTTCTGTTTTCACAGGAATTGTAGAGTTTGCATACGATCTCCACAAAACATTGCAAATCAACGTTTTTTTTCTTCAGCAACAAACGCACGTGCTTACGTTTTGCCAACACATACACGTGGTTGGCATCAGGAAAACAGAACAGAATTTGGCTTTTCAGTCTTATGGGTCAGGGGTTGTTGGACCCACCTGCCCTACTCGGACTTTCGCTGCCTTAACTTTCATTCTTGTCCCACTGCTTTTCCCCCGACACCACTGGACACAGTTAAATAATAACTGCAATCGGCTGTGTATCATGCCAACATGAAAGGATGGCTTTTGTCGTCGGTGTCTGACACCGGAAGTCACTGACCAAGCACCAATTTTTGACCACTTGGAGTGAGACCGGGCTGAAATCACATTAAAATGCAATACTAGCATGTAGGCATTAAAAGCTTGGTTTTCAACGACTTTGGAGTGAGACCGAGTTGATACAACATGCTGAATTTGGTTACCATGGAATATTACTTTAGAGATATGGCAGTGGTGGATTCACTAATGGCCTTGAGATTGTGCTATTGATGATATTGTAAAAAATGTCATGCATATGCTCATAGAGAACTTGTATAACCTGTTTCATTTTATTAAAGTTGATAGGTTGTAAAAATATCCAGTTTTAATGTTACTATTAGTGCCCCCTATGGGTAGAATTGTATAGAATTTCACACACTTGTCTGTGTATACAAAATTCCCAAATCTGGTTGCAATTTAATTTAGCATTAAGAAGTTATAAGGTTATTAAGTTTATTAGGCAACTGCTTTAAAGGTTTGGTAACCAATTACAGACAAATGGTGATTGATACCCAAGATGAACTGAAGAGATCTGTTCAGGGTCATCTAAATATGGTATGTACCAAATCTGGTGCCGAGATGAGATATGGGCCAAAAAAGCAAAAATAATGGGTATGCCAAAAAACTCCAAAATGGCAAAAAAAAAAAAAAAACAAACAAAAAAACGTGTTGGCGCAAATGGGTGAGGACTATGTTAGTCAAAGTGCCATCATCCAATGAACAGACCGTGCATATATTGTTTTGTTACGCCTCATGGTGCATGAGTTACTAGCCAAAAAGTAAAACACATGACAACTCATCAGATGGTTGCGTTTTTGGTACCATGTATGAATATGTGATGCATTTCCAGATGGCACACCAGGGATAAAGTATCAATACTTTAGCACCTGTACTTGCTGATATTTCAGCTTTCAAAGGTCTGTCTGTACCCAGTTGAGATGTGATATCCTGCCTCTGGCAGCAGAGACTAGACGTTTTCATTCAGTTCCAGAAGAGAATAGAAAATGTCAACTGTGTGACCTCGGAGAGAAAATGAAATACACTTTTTGTTTGACTGTCCAGTTTATCACAATCTCAGATGTAAGCTTTTCGTGAAATTGTCTGCAGAATGATTTGTTTTTCATGTCTGATGAATGTAGACTTGAGTTTCTGTTTACAGACAAAGTATTTCAGTTAGCTGGGTTTGTGTCAAATGCTTACAAACTGCGTTTGAGGGCACTTAATGTTTGACATTTTAAAGATATGGTTTGTACCATGATGTTATGCTCTTGATTTACAATAAATGGAACAGAAGCAAATTGATGCAAAAACTTGGTGAAATAATAAATAAATGATTTGAAATTTACAATCATTTAATCAGCTGTTTGTTTTTGACTGTTTTATAACATGTTTAGGACAATAAACACAATTATTGTTTATATATGATTTAGGGAACCTCAAACAGGCATTTGATTGTATGAAAAACCAGTCATCTCTACGGAAAGGGTGGAAATGATCAGTTGTTGACAAATACAAATACAAAGACTACACACAGAAGCTCTTCCTTTTAATTCTAGGGTGGTGCATGGTCAACAAGTCTCAAGTTTAGGAACTTTGGGGTTTCTTTCAATTCATCTTTAATAAAGATTAAAAATGAATTGAGTAGAGCCACAAAACAGAAGAACTTATCCGAAGGATATTTCTATCTATCTATCTATCTATCTATCTATCTATCTATCTATCTATCTATCTATCTATCTCCAGACGTCCCTCTCCCTACCAACGCTTTTGACGAGAATAAGTGTGATGATATTTGTTGTACTTCCCAACAAAGCAACTAGAAGACTGTAACTGATCAGGAAATACTGCAGCCTGGTAGAAGAAGCTGTGGTCAAATTATTCCAATCATCCCAGATGGCTCCACTGGCTGGCTGTTTGGTTTCAAAATCCATTTTTATGTTTTGGTATATGTAATGCATTATATGGCCTTGCTCTAAGGTTGTCAGCTTGTTGGGAAAAGACTCAGGTCAACAGTTTCTCTGTTCCCACATACAAGGTTGGAATGTAATAAATGATATTGTATTTATTATGCTCCCATTGAACAGCCTGCTTGCTGCCCTGATCGTTTCCAGCTGTATTACATTCGTTTCAACTCAAACTGAAGAGCTTTTAATGCCTATGTGGTAAAATTGCATTTTTCTGTGATTCTCACTTAGAAGCTGTCAAACATCAGTGCTTAGTCAGGGACTTCCAGTGTCAGACAGCAACCAAAAAAGCCACCCTTTCACATCAGCATGATATGTGGCTGGTCACCATTATTGTTAAACACTGCCGGGCGTCATCAGGAGGAAATTTGGCAGGACAATGATAAAAATTAAGAAGACAGAAGTCCAGGTAGGGCGGGGTGGATGGGTCCAACAACCACCGACTTTGATGGCTATGGAGGCTGATGTTTGCTTACCATAAGATTATAAAGCCAAACCCTGTTCTTTTTTCTTGAATCCAACCACGTGAGTGTGTTGGCTAAACGTAACCATGTGCGTCTGTTGTTGAAGGAAAAAAATGTCAATTTGTAGTGTTATACCAACACAGTGCATTTATTTTGAAAGAGACTGCATGCAAACTGTACATTTCCTGTGAAAACTGAAGTGTATTTCAAATTCAGACAATGCGTGTAACAGGCTGAAGTTGACATGGCGTCCCAGAACATCAACAACCAACGCACCCAGGGTAGTTTGCATGTAATATCTCAACACTGAAAGTTCATATCATGACCAAACGTTGATATTTGACGAGGTCAGCGTAAGAATGTGTTGGTGATTCATGCCTGGTGTGTATTTTCTAGCAGTGCTGAATAATATTTGTGAGTGTGATGTGATGTCATCGTCATGTCATTCCATGTTAATAATGTCAAAGGGTGATTGTTGTACTGGTGCCTCAGCCTTCCAGTTTGTATTCAGCTGGCAGACACTGATTCTGCATAGAAATCCTGTCTTATCCTTTTACAGACCTGCCCTTTTGCCTGAAAACTAGTCTTATTTGTTTACATAATACATCTCTGTTGTGCAACCATCTGATTTAAATCTTATTTTAATAGTTTCACTACTGTCTTTTGGATCATCCATCCATCCAATGTGCATTTAACAAGCACAAACAATTGCAGAAGAGGATGTACTTCCTTAGAAAGCTGAACCAATTTAAATTGGACAACCGTATTCTGGAGTTGTTCTATAAGGCCCTGTTGTAAAGTCTCCTAACCTTTGGCCTTATTTGTGCCTTTGGAAACATGTACATTCAGGACCAGAAAAAACTGCAACGTATGGTCAAATTTGCAAGCAAAATCATTGTTGACCAGGCCTTGGCAACTCAATTGTACTTATTTCTAAGAAGACAGACCAGATTTTAACTAACCCAACCCACCCCATCTATGTGAAATTTAAAAAAAGTAAAAGGTTAAGCGGCAGAATTCAGCATGAAGCCTTTCCCAGCTCAACATTGGGCGAGAGGCAGGGTACACCCTGGACAGGTCCCTGTCGATCACAGGGCTAACACATAGGGCAATTTAGAGTCACCAATTAAACTATCTCCAACCTGCATGTCTTTGGACTGTGGGAGTGCCCGGAGAAAACCCATGCTGACACAAGGAGAACATGCAAACTCTGAACAGAAAGGTTCCCTTCTGGGATTGAACCAGGAACCCTCTTGCTGTGAGACAACAGTGCTAACCACTACACCACTGTGCCACCCCCTTTTGGATCATTTATTTGTAAATTTGTATACAGTTTTACAACTATGTGCTTGTATTTTGCAGTTCTTGAAGTAGATTGTTCTTTTTTATGCTGTCTATGGATACATTATTTAGCAGAATAATATGTTTACAACAATTATTCATTATTATTATTATTATTATTATTGATAATATTGTTATTTATAATACTAATACTAATAATTATTATTGTTGTTGTTCTTGTTGTAGGTTTGCACTGGACATCATGGCAGCAGTGTGAAAAAGTGTATATTGAGAGATCTTTCAATTACATTTAAAACATGTTTAGGTCCATGTGATACTGTTGTCCAACCAAAATATTGTCTGTAACATAATTAAAGAGCTCAAACAAAACCACATCATTCAGTCCATGCTGTGAGGCACACACAAATGCACCTTCAAATCCAAATGGGTTAGCATTGTTTGGAGACCACCATCAAACCAGTGATCACAGCTCTGTACAGACAGGATCACTTCAGAAAAATAATATAGAAATACCACTGGAACAATACAGTGCAGTTAATATCAGCTATAGGCTAGCTGCACCTCTGAGTAACACAAAATATATCTTTTAATTGGTCTGCAGAAGTTTATACCATATCCCGCAGCATTTTGACACTACAGTCTGCACTATAAATAACCTCTAAACATATACAGTTTACATACCTGACTTGTTACTTAGTGTTACAGTACATTAATAAATTTCTTTTTAGCCTTAAAAACAAACTGAAATATTCATGTGGCAAAGCTGTCTATATTCTTTACCTCCTTCAGTTACTGGACTTGTGCCCCTGTATAATGAATACTCCTCCTCAGTCAGATAGTTTCTCAGCAGACATTTTGACATGTGACAGCAGGAAAAGCAGATGAAAATAATGAATGAATAACGGATGAATTGGATTTAGCCGCTTCAGTTTTAGGGTTCCCGTAATGTGCATGCTTGCTCACTGTCACATTGTTATGGCTTACTGGCACACTTGTATGGAGCCTTTGTTAATGGTCTTAGATATGCTTTTCCTTCCAGTCAAAGTCATCATGTCTCCTGTGAGAAAGGTCTGTTAAATGTCTGCAAATGTGAGAGGTAAAGTGAAAGATTTGAACTTTAAGAGCAAGTGTCTTTAACTCAAAGACATTAAACCTCAGTTTAAGTGGGTCTGCAGTAGGTTTAACTTTAAGTGCAGATACAGTAATCCCTAGTGGCATTTATGTGATATCTACAGGATACAGCAGCTGGTTCAGTCTTAGCTACAGGTACAGTTTAGAGATCTTGTCCCAGTCTGTTCTCATTCCAAAGTACCGCTGCTTTGTCAGATATTTTTGTGTCTGACACTTACACCAAAAGCCACCTTTTGTGGCAGTATGTTATACCACCGGGGGATGTCAGTTTGTATATGCAGCAATGCAGAACCATTTGCAGTGTTATGATACACCACCGGTCAGCCGGACAACACGTGTTGCAGCAGTATGATACACTGCCGGACGCTGTCAGTTTGAAACCCTGCTGGTAATGACAGAATATAGCTGAAAGCTATATGGTGTTGCTATGTTAGTATATTAAGCTATATTAGTAGCTCAAAAGTCTCTATAGGGAGGGTGAAAGGGGCAGTGGATGGGTCCAGCAGACCCTGGACTTTTACCCAGGAGTCTGGTATTTCCTACTCATATTAAAGTAATGTAGAGCTAAACCATGCTGTTTTTTTTCTAAAACTAACCACGTGTTTTTGTTGACCTCCTGTTGTTGGTAGCGGCATCCTGGAACATCAACAACAGACACATGAGTATACCTAGTGCCTAACATGTAGACATGAAAGTCCACTGACAAAGTGGCCATATGTGATGACTTAGGATGAGAATGTGTTGCCCGTCCCATGCTAAACTAAAAGTCAGCGTTGAGTTATTTTGTCAGCTGACTGTCAACCACAATCTTTTCCTAACCATAACCAGGGAGTTTTGTTGCCTAATCCTAACCACAGACCCCTTGTATCAAAATACAATGCAAAAGGCTGCCCCCGGCACCATCAGGCATTATGATCAAGCATCAAAATATGACGAGCAGGGATGATATCACGGCATCTTAGGAACCATGGGTTTTGGGTAATCTGAAATTATGCATTTGTGAAATGCTTTTGTGTTTAAAAACAGTTTTCTAAAATGCTGTATCTTACAGAAAAGGATTATTAATTTTAATTAATCTAGTGGCACTCTCTAGCCTCCATAAATTAGTAAGTTTGAAACATTTTTGAGAACGAAACCAAAATCCTCAGAAATGTACGTTTAATTGTGATGGTCACTTTGAATGCAATCAACACTGAACATTTCAGAACGTATCTGGACATCAGTATTTATGATCATTATGGAGGCTAGAGGCTAATGCAAGGGTTGATGTAAGGTACTGTGCAGCAAGAGGATGTGGTGAATAGGTTTATTACTGACAAGGATCCAACAAAAATCTCTCATGGCAACATCAAATCCAGGCAATCCAAAACACAAACAAAGCTTTATCAAAGAGCAGCAGCATGGATCAAGCTCCACTCCGGTCAGTCCATCCATTTCTTCAACACTGAGTCACTTGGTAAAGTTACTGAGGTTAACTTAAAGAGCACAGCTACTCAATAAAATGTTCATTAATGAAATGAAAATCCCATAGTTCTTGATTACAAAAAGAAAAGAAAAAAATTATCTCCATTGTCCAAGCCGGTTACAGCTTTCTTCATAAGTGGATGACACAATGTGACGATTGCAACAGCATGCCTTAATGGTGAGCAGCAATATTTTCCATCCAGCAATAAGGGTTGTGCACTGTGCATCAGATTAGAAGACACACACACAAACAATCTACAAACACTGCAGTTAATACACAGAGCCTCACAATCATAAAGCACAAAGCTGCTGCCTGTAAAATCTGGCTTTCTGCTGTCCATCTTAACATTTACTTTTTAGAATCTGTCATGCCTGAACTTTAAAGCTTCAAATGATTAAGAGATCTTGGTTGAAACTCTCCTCCAGGACTCAAGTGTTAACAGCAAACTGTGACTGTCTGGAAGGACTTGATTCAAAATCATATCTCAAAGACTAGATTTAAGGCTGTTCCTTGATGACTGATTAACACAACAGATATAATGCCTGCATTACTTTGATAGCATAACAAGACTAGCAGCCCCTTGTGACGCCAATGGTTATTACAACCAACTGTAGTTAAATGGAACAGTCAGTCTATATAATTCTTCATGAAGCATTTACAGTTGAGGGTGGCACTTTTGGACTGTTCATGGAGTATTCAAAGTGGAATGGCTTCATATTTAAGGGAGCATGACATATACAGCAAATGCCATGGCAAACTGCTCATAATTTTGTTTTTGTAATAATTGTAATTTTGTAATAATTTTGTAGTTTTTTTTCAGTATTTTTTGTGTATAAATTCAAGGTGGAACTAATTGTGGGAATGAATGAACCATCCTAAATCATTAGGAATCATATGGAACGTGATGCAAATTTACTGGAACTCTGGGCATCATTTTTGGAGTTAACTCCAGGGGAAACTTTGTCTTGATGATTGTTTTAGACCAGAAATCCTGAAGACTCTACAATCATTAAGAATTAGTTTTGGGGATTTGTGGAAAATGATAATGTAATATTATTATTAACTTTTATTTCACAGATAAAAAACATTAAATTGTGAAGACAATAAAGCCCCCACAAAATAGCATTTTAATTATTTAATTTACAAATCCACCCTTACAGTGCCAAAGTTGGAGGCCCTGCTGTCAACAACTGAACCTATGAAACTATAGCCTGACTGATACTGGGTTTTGAGGCCAATACAGATATCGTTGTTTGGGACTTATAAAGCCCTGAAAACATTTAAAGGCAGTAAAATGAGAAAAGAGGAAACATAAAGGTTTTTTACCCTTTACCATAACCTAAATGGAAGAAAATGTTCAGAGCTTTTCTTTGTACACTTCATTTGTACCATTTAGGGTAGTATACCCTGACTGCTTGATGTATAGGGTTAGGCTATAATTGTGACCCCTCTGATACTCTTTTATTGCCCACTGTCACTGATGGGTGCCACATGATAACAATCCCAAATGTAATAAATAGTAGTTAATTATGAATCTCAATAAATTATACACGTAATGTATGATAGAAAAATCAGTTTAACGTAGTCAGCATTATTTTTTTTTTTTTTTTTTACATCATAAGCAGGTTTACATCATCAGTTTTTATTATTTCTTTTTTGAATGCAGTTATAATGTTAAGCACAGCTATTATCAGTTTCCACAGGATCTGTACCAAATTTCATGTCATCTGGCCAATATTTATTGAGATATGGTGCTCTGGACCAAAGTGCCTGTATGGACTGATGGACCAGCATTGCCATCCTATCATTAATGAGACAAAAAGAATGTATACTTTGGTGACAGCCTTAAATCTGATCCTATAAGTCTGCCTGTCCATCAGTACAATATGAGCATATGACCAAAAATTCAAAGTACAGACTTTAAACAGCTTTCTGTCACTAGTGTTTATGCAGTGCCTGTAAATGGTTGATTTTTAAACACCTCATCACAAAGAGGAGAGTTCAGCTAAGACTTTCCAAATGCTAACACATGATTTTTCCAGCCCCACACCTCAGTGCAGCATGGTCTATTACAATAAAACTGAACAATATCATACAATAAGTTAATGAGCATTATCCACTTAATATTATGCACAAATATCATGCAGATGTTGCAACATTATTATTTTTACTTATCCAATCATATTAAAATAATGCATAGATATAAAATCCAATACATAAACACTATCATATGTATTAAAATAAACAATCTGTACAAAAATGTTGCCATATATTTTTAGGATTTCATTTTTTCCCACATATAACAGAATAGGGAAAAGTAAAAAAATAAATATCCTATGTACAATCACACAAGTCATTCCAAAGTTATCGTCACTGCAAGTGGAAAACAAAATGCAAATATATCAAAGGTTAGTTCAAACAATGTTCACAGTGAAGTTAGCATATAGTATGTCAGCTGCTGCAACACAAATCACATTGTCAAACTCTCAACTTACTTTATTCCAACATCCTGGTACAGGTAAGCCATCGTCTCCCTGGATAAATAAAAACAAGATGCAAAGTAAAAAATAAAGTATGATAATAACATTATTGTGAGTGAAGCAATAACACATACAAAAGCAGCTTATAATTATATAAATTAAACTGTTGAAATTAGTATTCTCTTTTTTGATTGCCCTTGTAAAATGTGTAGTTCCAATCTGTGATTATGACTGGCTGAGCCAGATTCAAAGCCATTGTAAAATACTCTATGAACACACATAATTACAATTTCAGTACAATTAGGCCATCCAGGGCTCTGGAAGTAAACACTCCCTTGTAAAATGTATAGTTCCAATCTGTGATTATGATTGGCTGAACCAGATTCAAAGCCATTGTAAAATACTCTATGAGCACACATAATTACAATTCCAGTACAATTACACCTTTAATAGTACTGCACCAATTAGTCACCTATTGTTATATGGGACATACAGTTAAAGAAGGCAACCGCCAAATGAAACCCAAATCATTCATCATCTGCAAGGATGAGAACGGTCATAAGTACAGTATGCAATGCTGACATTCACTGAATGCACAAAAACCATAAAAATACTGGGAAAGAAACAAACAAGCCTACAGGGATTTATGTTTGAGCAGTGAGGGAACCAACTGTGTCCTCTTGCTTTGTTGGAGAAATACCTGTCATTGCCGCTGCCCAATCCACCAGCCATTAAGTGCCATTCGAGGTGGACAAACTCCACCAACTAGTTAGCAATGTTGTTTTATTACAGTGTAATGTTAGCTTGGTTACCCAGCATATACGGGGCTACGCTGTAAAACAAATGATATTGCTGGCAAGTAAAAATAGCTCAACAGCTTTTAACTGTATTTATTCAATTTTTTCGCCCAAACCACGTTTTACATGACTACATTGAACACATCATAAGAACACAGTAGTCATTTTTACTGAATAGAGCTAGAACGCATCATAATGCATTCAAAGTAGCCATTTTTACTAAACAGAGTTTGAATGTATCATAATGTAACTTAATGCAACATCCATTAGCTGCAAACAACTAACGTTTAACTAGCGCTCCTCCTGCTGATTTTACCATGAATTCCTTGTTCACAGTGTAGCATTATCAGGGAAACAAAAGGGTGCGTCCTCTGACCTGAGGATAGCGAGTTCACTGTGTCCCTTTATCCCGCAGGCATCCCAGGGAACATCACGGGTTGTCCCAAACACGCTTTTTATTGCCCTCAAGATGACGGGACTCCGGCTGCTACTACCCATCTCGTCACACAATAGTACGATCACAGAGCTCATTTACCAAACACTCGTTATATTCTTGTTGTAACTGCTCATTGATTAAAGTTTGGCCTGGAGCCCTGCTCTTTGCCCTGCACATAACTGATGGGTAACACTTCATAAGTCAGCCCGCGTTTTAGAGTGTACCTCTCACCCACTTTCCCGGGAGTTAGCGTATAACTCCCGGGAACTTACATGTACTTTCCCGGGAGTTAGAGCATAATTCCTCCCGGTCACTTACCACATACTTTCCCAGGAGTTAGAGTATCCCTCGCGGTCACTTACCACATACTTTCCAGGGAGTTAGTGTTTAACGACGCTGTCACTTGGCATATACTTCCCCGGGAGTTAGAGTATCCCTCTCGGTCACTTAGCACATACTTTTCCGGGAGTTAGAGTTTAACTCGTCACTTATGTAATTTCCCAAAACTTATGGTTTAATTTCCTTATATGAATCTGTATATGTATGAAGTGCAGTAAAAACAAATGCTTTTGCCCTTTGCTCATGGCAGTTGATTCAGTCACTTTTATGTAGCCTATGTGTCATCAGGCAATTTCACCCACACTCCAGGGTTTTAATATTTATGTTTTGTTTACATTTCATTGAATGAGTTTGAATATGAATATGTCAAGAAATGGGTCTATATTCTGCAAATTG